GACATTTTCCTAAAAAAATGCATTATTATTAAAATTATATTCTGTCCACAGGGCATTTTCATTACTTCTTCAGAGAACTTTATAGAAATATGGAAAGCCGGGGTGAAACACGAATAATTTTATTCTTCCCTGTGCAGAAGAGACACTGATTATTATTAAAATTAAACAAATGCAGTCACATACATTTCCTGGCTGGTTTTCTGTCAGACCATTCCTGTACCATAACTTCATCTCCCGGTCCCCCAATGTAGTACTGATTTTCATAAGTTGAATTGGCAGGAATATCATATGGATCCCATGGCTCTGTCAGAGGAATCTTTGAGCAAAGCTTTGTAACTTGTTCAATCTGAAACATCACTGCATCTTTGTAGAGCAATATATATTCAAAGAACCTGAAACATTAAGAAAAAGCAATTAATAGATACAGTCTTTTTCTATCCTAAGCAAGGACATTGCTGATATGTAAGCTTGCCTTTGACTTCTCAGTGTAAAAATATTTCCACTTGCATTAAAATTTGCCAAACTTTGAGAAACGCTAACCAGTTGGGCTGAAATTTCCCATGCTGGAAGTTTGTCTCAGCTGATTCTTTCCCAAATAAATAAATCAGATTGAACTGGTTCAGCTGTTTCTGAGAAAAACTGAGAGAAAAATATGTTATTATTCCTAGGTTTTTTTTTTTAATAACTGTTTCATTAAAAATCTTCAGTGCCTCCATCTTTTGCAAAAAGGACTCAAAATTTTGGCAGGAGAAAAGTTTTTATTAAAAGTTGCCCAGATTTGGCTAAGTTATAAGCCTTTGAAAAAAATCTGCTTGCATAGGCTGGATAGAATCACTTATCCACAAATGTGGTAGAGCCTTCCTCTGCACTGGTTAGATGTGGTATCTACCATCCTCACAGATGCTTCTCCATGGCAACACACATAGCTCAAGTTGAACATGGTGGTGAAGGGAGAAGTAGATGGCCCCAAGTGCAGAACTGAGAGGGTCATCCTCATAAGGCAGTTTCTCCCTGGAATTCACCAGACCCAATAGTGAAAAGAAAAAGCAGAAGAGCAAAATAGTAAGGCAGAGATAAGTACAGTTGTGGAGGTCAATGAGCTTGAGAGGCTAGAAGGTGAAGTCCCTAGCATGGATAATTCATAAGGATTTAAATCCAATCTTCTAATGAGTATGAAGTGTCCAAGCCATGCTCTGAGGAGAGAAAATAAACATTTACATGGACACTTTCATCTAGTTTCTGTTTACAGTGGTCTGGTCTACCAGCTGTACTGTGACATTGCTTCCATACCTTCAAAAAGGAATGTCCTTACATTTAAACTGGACACAAAACCAGAGAGAAATAGAAAATCAAAATTATCAGAAGCATCAGCTTATGTTGAATACTGGAAATAGCAGAAACTTAACTTCTCTGGGATACTTTGCATTCCTAGTCAGATGAGAAGTTGTTCAATGCATGTCTCAAATCATGGTCATGCATGTTCTAAATAATTTGCAAAGGACTTACAGGGGTCACTTTCTAAACCCTCCAAAACTCTGCATTCATTATTAGAAGCTTCCCTTGAATATTGCAGCTCAAGTATTTGGCTACAAACTACTGTTATGCAGTGACTCTAGAGAAAAGGAAGGGAAGAGCTTCATCTTTCCATCTGTAATTCCTTGCTTCATTCATAATGTTGTCTCCTTTTCCTGGGGGGGGAAAAAAAGGCTTGGGTGTCTTTGGACACAGATATCTACTTCACAAATCAGATGCTAGTCCCTAACACTATTCATCCTGTGCCATCGGGAAGATGGGAAGCTAGTGTAAAACATTGCATAATTCATGTAATTGAAGATATGATGCACAAAAGCAACAGCAGACCCTTCTCTATTTTCCAACTCCTGCATATTTCTCTTTGCAGTCCTCACATCCTTTTGGAGTGGATGCAAAGTTTACATAAAATAGCATTGAAACCAAAACAATTTAGTTTTGATTTTTGCACTACACAATTGCACCAGACAGCAAGAATTTCATCCTCCACTGACACTGTGGTATTTTAAGGTTGCATAATAAGAAGCGTGTCAGCATGGTTAAAAGCATCCGAGCAACATTCCCATCACTTCTTGAGAGCATCATTTATCCTGCATGCACGGAAACATGGTCAGGCTAAACGCCCTTAGCCAAATTGAACAGCGATGGAGAATATAAAATGGGACAAGGAAGTTGACATGATGTAAACTGGGGCCCATCTCTCACTCACAACCTTGCAAAACATGGGAGGTAGCCTGTCCTGCTCTCCAAGTGGGAAACTAGGAACTTCATGCAAAGGGCTGACAAACTGCAAGGCTACATATGACCTTCCCCATGGTAAATCATTCTCCTGCCCGTATCTTAAAATATTCCTGCTTCTGCCATGACTTTCACCAACCTAAACTTGCCTGCCATTTTCTTAGTCAAAGGCAAGGTTTCCACAGTCATGATGTGCTACTGAATTATTCAGTGTATTTTTAAACTCTTTTCTTACATAAACCCAACCTGAGATCACATAAGGGCATACATAATTTTTATATCACATTTGGTCCAGAGAACATACAAGAACACTAAAATACACTTATTTATGTGTTTTCAATGACAGTTTAATGACCTA